CTTTCTCTCTTTGAGATCACCAACGTGATCCCAGTTTTGCCGCGGGTGCCTGGGAAACAATGCACCTGTCACTCTTCCTCCCCTGAACGAATAGACGACGACGACGACGACGATGAAGCAGCTCTTTCGTTCCCTTCCCTCTCGGTCTACACTCCACCCCTCTGGTCTACCCTACCCCCTCCAATTCTTTTCTTTCCTTTTGCTCGTTCACTTCCGCTTCCTCGTCAAGCTTTTCCCACCATTTTGTCTCCAACCTAATTGTAAGTTTCCAAGTCCGCCATTGCGTTACAAGCTTTCCTTCTTTCCTACCTTTAATAATTCTCATTACTTTCCTTTGCAAATTTTAATATCCATTTATTTTTCATTTCGATCACCCGATAGATATAATCAATCGCTAAAGTAACGAATACGAATTTTACTCTATCTTATAATAACTAATTAGGTAAATCCTTATATTTAGTTATTCCAATAATAGCAGTGCAATCATTGATCAACAGAAATGCCGGAACCGAAATAATTTCAGTTAGAACTTGATTATTTCTCATTTATTTTCTTAGTTCTTTTGATCATTTTTCGAGGGAGAGAAACGAGAAAGGCTCGCTTCCTTTTCCTTCTTTTCTTTTTTCTTCTTCTCTATGTCGTCATCGTAGACACGCGTACGTTAATCTCGCGGAAAGAAATATTTGTTTAAGTAAGCCCCTTTTTTTTCTCCTTCTCTCTTGGTTGGAATTAATGATTGTACAGAACCGCTAATACGACCGCGGATGATTATGGGGTTTCGGAGGGAGGACAACATAACAACCGACAATGCACAGCCGCGAGGGAAACTAAATATGTATATAGTAAATAATATCCGACACACAAATTTTCTTTCAGATTTTTCCTTTAAAACGCGTAAGAACTTCTTTCAAAATAAGTTTTATTTATAAAAGTTTACAGTTTCACGCGTTGCCTATTCAATTTATATTTCATCTAGCATAGTAGGATATAATCTAAATATTTAAATCTACCATAGATCGTTTAGAAGGAATTCCAATATCTTATTTTAATCATCCTTTTTTTTTCTCAACCTCTGTCGAATAACCGAAGGACTCTCCTATGTATTATAAATACTTTAAAATAATATCTATAATAAATACGCGCCCGCGTTATAATTAGAAATCGCGAATTATTTATATTTGCGTACTTGAGAGAGTGCTTACAGGTCAAAACTGTAAAATATTTGTTAACTTTTACGTATGAAAAAAACTACAGTATTCGAACTTTACCAACCGAACAATCAACAAATTTAAATCCAAGCAAATATAAACAGACCTAATTTAAAAATACATTTTTCTCTAATAATATATAGGAATATGTAAAGAGAAGGCGTAAGAATTGAAAAAAAGAAATGATAGAACATTGTAAAGAGTTAAAACGGTTGACCGCGGGACTCTTTATAAAAGGGTTTTTTTCATCTACCTATTCATAGAGAAGTTTGTATCTTTGTAACTTAGGAAGAAGCCTGGAACTCTTTAAATCCTCTATTATCCCATACACGTGTTTCGGCAGATGCGTTTAAATCCCGCCTCGAGCAAAAAGCACAGCAATTGTCGAAGCCCTGCGAAATCCTTCGGAGCATGAACGAACGAACGAACGAACGAACGAACGAACGAACGAACGAACGAACGAACGAACGAACGAACGAACGAACGAAATACTTTATTCATCTAACAAGACATTTTCTTACGAATTCATTTATAACTCGCTGTATAACTAAGGCCTGCATACGTAAGAATGCAAAACCGAAGCGAACGCATTGGAATAATTGAAGATAGAAGGAATAAAGAAAACTAACGTAATTACACTAATATTAAAAGTATGCGAATGCAAAATAAACTCTTACCGTTTATTATAGTTTTCTCATAGCAATAAACTTAGATAGATAACTATAATAGCAAGTTCTGTGTTAAACTAAATGTAGGATAAATCTCGCGTAAGACTCGTAAGGACGTTTCGAAGAAACTCGAAAGAGAGATGTACCGAGCGAACACTCTCGATGTCATAACGCGCGAACGTATTTACGCGATTACGCTTATATCACGGCGAGTGAATCAATAAATATACTTTCGCAGAGACTGAAGAAGCTATCCTAGCACCAGCTAGGATACGTGTATATACTCTCTCGTGCATATACTTACCTTTCACGAAAATACTAGCCGTCGAGATGGAGTAACATTTCGCAGCATCGTCGCATTTTTACAACGGTTCTTGGCGACTCCTGGTCGACCTATCAAATAGGTCAGCATGAAAAGCGTTAATAAATGCGAAAACTATAGACCGTTAAATAGATACGGAAAATGAAAGAGAAATTAATTGTATTTCGCAAAATGAACACTCTTTTACTTCTACCATTATAATATGTTTTTCTAATGAGATAATCAAATAAAAGAAACAAATAATATCACACGTAGGTATGGCTTCTTCGAAAGTTGCATTTAAATTTTGCTATTAAATGAAAGAATAAAGAAAAGTACTATTTTACCGTTTGACCTTATCGTAGGTCGACAAACACTCCATTTAGACACATACGGATGTTATATTATTTCTATTTTTTACCGAAGGAAAACGAAGAAAAAAAATAATTTTCGATCGATTTGCAGTGTAACGTAAAAAATAAACATAGTATGCTGTAGGGCTGACGCCATTAAACGATCGAGAATTATATTGTTTTCTCAGCCGTTTACGTAGATTCAACGGCAACACCTTGCTCGGCCAAGTATTTTTGCAAGAAAATATCGGGACGCGACGTGTGTATGCGAATTGTATCAAAATATTGCTTTTCAAAATACACTTTCGTAAGTCCCATAACAAATGCATTTTAAATTCGAATTAACAGATAGGAGAAAAAATGCATTTTATAGCAGTCTACAAAGGGAGGGGTGGTTCATTTTGAAGATTCGTCGCGTTTAAAAAGACCAAAGAAAACATTAGTATATTATATAATATTATCTGCGTGTGTGTTTCTATTTATATTTGGATGTGTTCATATGCGTTATATGTGATTTGCGCATTTATTTTGTGAAATATCGCATTTGCACGAAGCACCCTACTTTAATCATAGCAATAATCATACTTATTGGTAATAATTTTAATCTATATCTTATTATAATAACGCAGCAGTGATAATAATGACAATATTAACGACAATAGGAGTCACAATGACAATAGTAAATACGCTTCTCTTATATAACTGTCTATCTATAATACAGAACGTCTCGGAAGTATTCATTCGATCCTCCCTATCAATTTAAAACAATCAATATTTCCTTATAATGCAATATTTCGAAATTATTATATAGAGAAACATTATTTAGAATTATTCAACTTTTCTATCGAAGTTTTGCATTGCGCAAAATGCAATATATGCAAATATGAATTATTTGGAATTTACAGGGAGACCGGGTACGAATACTCCTTTGACTTGCTATATATGTAATATCGTCTATACAATAACTATATCCATTTCTTAATATCTCTTTTTATAATACACACGTACATAGATGCTTATTTATCGACAATATTATCGCGAATCTATTAGTATTATTTTTGTTTAAATCGTATTCACATAATTCATCTTTATTTGAATAAATATATTATCTCACACAGAGCTTTCGAGCGCTCTTGTACGCAGAAAACAGAGTTACCTATAAATGCATGTTAAATTTTCGAATAATACCTTATTATTATTATTATTATATTTATAAACGTTATCTTCGACAATTTTGCAACTTTTTACATTTTTCTTATTCTCCTAATTTTTATATATATATATATATATATATTTTTATATTCGAAAAATCTAACGCAACGTTTCTTTTAAATAAAAAAAAAAAAAATATCCGAACTTAATATTTTCGATTTTATAATATATTTATACATTAATTTACTTTTATTCTTTTACTTTCTTTCTCTCTCTCTCTCTCTCTCTCTATCCTTTTTTGAATGATATATTTATAGGAGTATTTTAATTGTATTACAGCTACACGTATTAGATTGGCGCTTAAATAATTACGGTTTGTAAAATGAAATAAAGTTTATCAATTTATGTTTATGTCTTTTCAAAGGTAAATCATTAATGATAATTTGACTATTTGCAATATCATAATCATAAGGAGATAAATAAATGAAAAGAAAATAATAAAAATCACAATTATTTATGCACCAATCAAACCCTTCTACTCGTTCTTCTATTTTAATCCATACTGAAGCCTTCGAGTGCGACCCGGTCATGATATTTTCTCATTTTTCAATCAAAGTTAAAAATGATTGCCGTACCCTACCCCGCGAAACCGATCACCATAATAAACTTAATGTACAAAATACTCCTATTGTTTTCCTACCCGATGGCCTTTTTATTCTTTCTTTTTAATCGTTAAATTTTCATACTGACACCAAAGAAAAAGGTTGAGTACATTTAGGTACCTCTATGTGTACATTAAAATAAATTTTGAAGCGAGGAAAAATCGCCAACTATACGTACAAAAAATGATCGAACGTATTTAATGTCTTAAACGATCATTGATATTTTTTAGAACGTTTCGACAAACGCTAAAGACGATTCGAAATGATTGATCGATGCTTGTTAATGAAAACATGTCGTTTATCATTTGAACGATATTTATACGTTTATATATGTACATGCATATGTAAGTATAGAATACATTCAATAGAAAAAAATACGAGATCATGATAATTACGTCGATAAAACGGTCTATTGTATCGATGCAAAAGACTACCGATTAAAACGTTCAAAAAGTTGCGTATACACATCGAATCTATGCAAAGTGACGATTCAATTTAATTGCAAATATTAGAAAAGTCAAATCGCGGAAGAATAATTTCCTGGAAATAAAAGTAATCGATATCGATAATTATAGTATTCATAAAATATCAAGGATATTTATAAGAATATATAATACTGATAAACACTGGAATAGTATCGAGTACCATTACAAAATTCGAATTTAAATAAACCTTATTATGAAATAAGATTTATAAAGTATCGATATTCTATTATAATATATTATCAGTAAATCGATATTGATAACTTTCCATTGAAAGTTAAACAACGATCAATCGAATGGGAAATATTTCCGCGGATTAGAAAGATTCGATGCAACGAGACAAGGTTTTTTAAACTTTTGTCGGAAGTAAGCAGACATAGGGCAAACAGAGCCACGCCAATATTTTTCCTCCGTCGGTCGGGAATTTTTGCAAGGAACGTTTGCACAGTTGCTGAAAAAGCTTTGCATTGAATTTGCTTGTGGAAAAAAACAAGACGCCTTTTCGATGAAACAATTGTCCTAGGTCAGCGACAGCGTGCCTACCGAATGACGAATGTTTGCTCAGGTGAGTTCCGAGTTTACGAGCACCGTTTTTCTTCTACCGAATCTTCCACGCAAGCACTTTCTCTCTCTTTCTCTTTTATAAGCTTTTGAATAAGAATACCATATCCCGCGTGTCGATACTTTCGAAAGAAAATGATTTCAATACGAATCGTGGAATAAAGGTACTTATATACAAATACATTTATGTGAAAATGATCCTCGAACGATCGAGAATTTTCTTCTCGGACCACCTGTTCGTTGATAAAATGCATATTTTTCGAGAGGAGAGAGGTTGCTTTTTACAAAGAACTACGCGGAAAGATAAGAATGTAATATATTATAACGAGACGGAATAAGTATCATTTTACCGAACTCTTTTCAGGAGGATTATTTAAATCTCCCCTTCAGTTCCAATCTTTGGCGAGTTCCTCCGTCATTGGTATCCACTCTTGCTTGACGTAAACCAGGCCAGGATCATATTCGTTCTGATGTTCTTCAAGGCCTCGCTGGTGGGGCCTTGAATTTCGGTATTCTCAGTATTTCTGCAGCGTTATCGGTAGATTGCCGCTGCCATTAACGGCGTTGCAGTCTTGGAAGTATCTATGGTAAAGTGGCGGGGAGGGTGCTGCACCCGTTGAAAGGGGAGTCGATGGGCTAGATCTGAAAAATACGAAGACGAATATTTTGTCGATTTGTTCAGAGAAGGAAAGGCGGACGCGCGAAGGAAGGGGAAGACGTACCTGTAAAGTTGACAGCTCGGCGATTGAGTGTCCTGATAAATGGGGGCAGCATCGGGACTAGCGGCTTCCTGATACCACTGGGTGTGGGCGGCCGCAGCGGCCGCGGCGGCCGCCGCGGCTGCAGCGTTCCCGTGATTTCTGGAGTTGTAATCGGAGTGGTCCATGATGTAGCCGGGCGTAGGCGCGCAATAAGGTACGTACATGCCGGTCCCGGGTGGCGAGGAATTTCCTCTGGCGACGGCGCTACCGTGAGGGGCGTATCCGGTGCTCGCCATCATGGCGGCAACCGCGGCGGTCGTGCTGGTCGTCGTGGTGCACGCGGACGAGTGGGCGTGCGGGTGCGAGTGTTGCAGAGCGTGAGCGTGACCATGAGCAGCGTGGCCATGGGTGTGAGCGTGAGCATGCGGATGTTGACCGCCGCCACCGCCGCCACCGGTGCTTTGGTCGACGCGGTTGTTCATCAGAGCGTTTTCTCGCGTCGTCATGAGTGCGTCGACGCTAAACGCGCCGGGATCTAGGCCAACCATCGAGACATCCGGAATCCCTGTTTCTTGATGTACTTGGTGATGACCCTGATGAACCTGGCTTCCGAGAGCCGTTTGAATGACGCTCTGGCTCTGGTGAGATGGCACGTTTGCCACGACCACGCCTGTAACCGTAGTCTTGGTGTCTTGCTGTATCGGGCTATGGAGCAGACCATACTTGCTATGCACGGCCATGCAATGATCGTTCACCGGTTCTCTCTTTGGTTTGCACAACCCGGTCGTAGTCGTACTCGCCGTAGTCGTAACGGTACCACCCTCCATGACACCCGCAACACTACCGATGACACTAGCCACACCAGAAGCACTAGCACCACCACCACCACCACCGCCACTGCCCCCACCTCCCCCTCCCCCTGCTACCGCACTACCGCCGTTGCCACCCCCGCCGCCGAGTTTTTTACCCGCCGCCGCCGCCGTCGTCGTTGTCGTTTCTATCGATGGCGCGAGGTTTACGATACCACCACCACCACCACCACCACCGCCGCCGTTGCTCGACTTTACGTCCTCCTGTTGCGATTGCAGTCCTCGTTTCTCCGTCAGGAGACCCTGCCTCTTTAACGCTTCCTCCTTCTCTTTCAGAGCATCTTTTTTTTTAAATCTCCTCCGGCGACGTAAGTAAGAACCGTTGTCGAACATGTTGTAACTGTCCGGATCGAGCGACCAGTAACTACCCTTGCCTGGTTTCTTATCGTCGCGCGGCACTTTGACGAAACACTCGTTTAAACTGAGATTGTGTCTAATCGAGTTTTGCCAGCCCTGTTTGTTCTCGCGATAGTACGGAAAACGTTCCATTATGAACTGATAAATACCGTTCAGAGTGATCTTCTTGTCCGGAGCATTTTGAATTGCCATTGCGATTAGAGCGATGTACGAATAAGGGGGTTTCACCATGTCCTTACCCGGATGGTGAATGTGTTGCTGCGTTATTCCGGACACGGGATAACCAGCAGCCGTCGCATATCCACTGTATCGATATTGCTCGTAATAACCTGGAGCAGCGCCCACACCCACGCCCACACCTGGATAGGATGCAGTGCCCATACCAACGGGTACAGCGCTCGCGTGACGATAATAAGCATTTTGTTCCCCGAACAACGTGTGCATTTTGATTAATCAATTTTCTTCTTTCCGTCTCGTAAACCACGACACCTTTTTTCTTATGACGGTAACACTTATGCGCACATGCACCCTACTTGAAAAATGCACTTATGCGATTATAATATTTCCAACATTCTTTCCTTTCTCTATTCCACTTTCTCTTTGCTTATTCCATTGAATATAAAACGAAATTCTTCCTCGAAGGATAGAATAAACTTTTTTCGAAATGCCAAGCCTTCGAGTTCTATTAATCCTTTATTCCCAAAAATCATAGGAAAAATAAGTCAAAGTCTTTGTATAGTGTAGGATGAAGGCATAGATTTACCTGGAAAACTCGAACGGCAGGACGGAAGGCAGGCAGGCAGGCAGGCAGGCAGGCAGGCAGGCAGGCAGACAGGAAGGAAAGAAAGAAAGAAAGAGGAAGAGGAAGAGAAAGAGGAGGAGGAGGAAGAGGAGGAGGAGGAGGAGGAGAAAGAGGTAGAAGAGGAGGAGGAGGAAGAGCAACAAAGTAATGCGTGGACGACGCGAGAAAGGTGCGGCGGTGGTCCTGGGTGTCGTCCTGGGTGTCCTCCTGGACGTCCTCCTGGGTGTCCTCCTGGGTGTCGTCTTTAGAGCAGCGCGAGGTGCAACGATTGTATTATGATACACAACAGGTCGGAGTTTACCCAACCCCGAGTAAAAACACACTGGGGCCTCGTTCGCGAGTCGAAGAGACCGAGAGCGTTCTAGGATGAACGCGAGGACGTGTGCGCGCGAGCAGCGCGATCCGGACCCCTCTCCGTCTCGTAGAAAAATCCTTCTACGAGCGCGCTCGAGTTAAACACCGCAGTAATGCGTCGAGCCGAACTCGCATAGTAGGGGAACCAGAGCTTCCATTCGTTCACTCGCCTAGGGGCTGAACCCTCCTCGAGAACCTTGGCCAATCGGACGACTTTAGGATGGGCACCCTGCCGCCACCCTATCGCCACCTTGCCACTACCCGATATCACCGAGTTACCTTGGCCATGCCCATTTCGTCGCACGCACGCATGTTACTGTCTTTTGGGTTAACGTTAAAAGAGACCACTAAAGAGAAAAAGACAGAGAACACCTTCGTCCTGCTCTCGTCGTCTTCTCTTCGTATCCTACCTATCGTAGACGGAAAGAAATGAAGAAAGAAAAAGAGTACGCGAGGGTACCCACTCGTAAACGTGAATTTTTACAATTGGTCGCTGCCATCATAGGCCCTCACGCCTGCCTCTGACACTTTTTAAATCTCGTGACGAATCTACGAGCGACGGATTGCATCCGCGTATTTAGTACCTATCATCTATCTATCTATCTAGCTTCGTTCTTTGCTTATTCTCTATCACCTTTTATCTTTCTCTTTAACCTCGTATTTTTTTTTTTTTTCAATCGTCCTCGTCCCTGTTCTCTCGGAGTGTCCCGTGTGCAACGCGTTTTATCTTTTCAAACGATATACGATTATATATACCATTCGTAATTGGTTCGATATTTTGATATCGTAAAAGTGTACAGTGAGACAACCAACCGTCGACATTTAAGAAATGGTCATAGCGTGGAAATCTGTTAGTGAGTCCTATACATACCTACGGAGAGAAATAGAATCGTCAAAGAGTTTAATGCGATGTCCTTCTTCCAAGGGAAAATAGGTATTTACCTGGCCAAATTATTTCTTCTTCTTTCGATCGCGTTTCATTTGTTTCTTTTACCTGGACTATTTTTTACCTTATTTTTCAATAAATATCTCGGCGAGAAGCAGTAAACCGACTTTTGTTTGGCAAACCGTTCGGTAACGCGTTAAATCGCTTGATTTACGTGACAGCTCTGGGCTTCCACTCAGCTGAGGCGTTATCGTTTCTTATCCTTCGACTACGGCTCATTGACGCCGTACTTTTCGACGAATGACTTATTATATTTAGTTACTTTTAATGAGAATGGTCAAAGTTAATGATAAGTAGTTGGTTTTGTCTGAACAAGGATACCAAACATTCATTTGAAATACTCATGCATAAAAATACTGACCCGATAAATATCGGGCATTCGTCTTTTTATCAGAGAATGTAAAAAAATTGAAGGGTGATGGAAGGCGAACCGGAAGAAAAGCGTTTTCTCGCCGCGAGTAGTATAGATAGGTAGGTAATCCGTAGACGAAGGAACTCGAGAAAGCTCCCTCGGGAAAGCAGAGTAGGAGAGTAGTGGAGTTATTGGAAGAAGAGGTACCGAACGAGACGAGAGATTCAATTTGCCGTCTGTTTTTCTAAGGGTTCGACTCCTGCCTTGCGAAAACACTCGATGGGACACCTCGTCTCCGTCTTCAAGAGCCTCCTGTTCTTTCGCGAATCCTACGAACCACTATCCGGGTTCCCGGAACGAGTTCGATCGTCCCATCGTTCCACTTTTCCACCTTCTACCCTCTCCTTTCCAACAACCTATATGTATTCTTACATGTTACTATTGGATTTTCCAAAGAATCCAAATTCAATTGACCTAACCAAAGGAATATTACTCGCATCGTTTAATTACTTCAAGAAAATAGAATGAAAATAATATAGATTGATATTTGTAATGAAAAATTTTTAAAGGAATTATCTGATTTTTCATTATGTATTTCTTTGATACTTTGACATTCGAGTGCTGTAAATTACTGATGTTTTATCCCAGGTTCCATTCTATAAGTATTGTATTCAATATTTCAAACGTAGCTAACAAGAGAAACACCTACGTGAGGAAAACACTTTTTTAGGGATTAGGAAACGAAAAAATAGAAAAAGAAATCTTTTGTGATAAAATCTTTGTTTGCTTCAATAATACATATTGGATTTGTGGCAGGGAAAGGATTAAAAAAACAATTTTAACAATGATGCCTTTGGATTTTTCTTTTTCGATGGCCTACGGCTGATAGAAACTGCCAACCTGTAAAATACCAACGAAGGCATTCCAACAAAACTTTAATTATCTTTTGCTTGCGTTCAACCTCAGAGATTCATGAACTCCCTGGAGCCATTGCTCGTACGGCAACGAAATACCAAACTTTCCCTTTTCTTACCAAACTTTTTAACGCTTCTTCTTCTTCTTTTTTTTGTTTCGGAATGTGATTTGATTGACGGGAAAATGATGAAATCGACTGGTAGCATTGTAGGGCGGGCCTTTGTGCAAAGATTTGATTAGAAAGAAAGATCATTTTTCCGGAATTTCCGAATGTAACCGGATTGACTTAAGCGACGTTAAGTTTAATAAGCTTTACCCTGACGTAAGTAAGGTTCGCCCATAATCGGGATTAGCGTCGATTCAACGAGGACGTACACAAGGCGATTTGCATATTTTCTGTAGCCGCGAGCAAGTATTCAGTTTTAAAGTAGCTAGATACCGTGGAAATATCGTATAATCGTGAAAATCTGACTACGTTGTTGAAATTATCTACGTTCTCGCATTGTATACCTAATCTACCTATCTCCCAAAAGGATTTTCCCCTCCGAGTGTTTACGGTATTTCGAAAGAAGGCAAAATAAACTTTTTCTCCTCCTTGACCTATCTTACGTATAGCCATTTTATCTTAGCGATCGGAGTCATCTGCGGATACGAAGAAGGCTCTTTTTTCGTCCAAAAACAATAAACCAGGATGGTTTTCGATGAGACCGCTTCTTACTCCCAACGATATTCTTTTCCGAAGACGTACCGGCAACATGCTTACGTCACGTGCTCTACAAACGATGAGACCTTAACCAAAGCAGAAACCCTGACGCAAATCATATGCAAATAGGGCACAGCAGAATCTTAATCATTCGAATTAATTAGCAGATATTCGGGAATATACGTTTGATAACTACTAGGAAAGATTTAACGGTAACCCGCAATCCGTAATCGAAAAAAAATAATAAAATGATGAATGTTTTAGCTACCGTAACTAAATAAATAGTTGCCCTATGGATAAGTGACACGCGAAGTAACCAAATCTGGTAAATCCTCCGATCGGATTAACCGAAGAAGGAAGACTCGCGTCCGGCGGCTTCGTATCTCCGTATGTTTCTTGTCTATTCCTCCTCACGAGTCCTAAAATGATGTTTACATAGCGATGAAATTTAATTCTCGAGACCTCCAAACTACTCGTGTAAACCAATACTCGAGAAGACGTAGGGCGTGGAACGTAACCTACGTCGGAATAATATTCAGCGCAAAAAAGAGGTGTAACATTTTGGTGATGCCGCGTCAAGATGTCGTTTCCGCTCCACGAATCAAATTAAAGGAATCTCAGTGTGTGTGTGTGTGTGTGTGTGTGTGTGCATGCGTGACAAGCGTGTCTTATTCCAATGAAGCTCGGAACTGTATTATTTTCTCATTAGTAGCCAATAAGAAATTTCATAATTGATCCAAGGCTGGCAAAAAATACGAATATTCTTTAGCACGATTCGAGGCTTTGATATAAAGCTTTCGAATGTTTACACGTACGTACACATGCGTATAGTACCTAGGTAGGTATTTACCTATCTACCTACTGTACACACTAATTCTGGGTCGTATCTCTCTTGCAGTCATCCATCGGTTTACCCGACGCTGCTCCTTGCATGCGTTTACTTACAAGAATATGACCTGCACGCTGCGATACGATCGCGCATAAAGATAACAAACAGATCGATGCAGCGCCTGCTGTTTCTCACGTTCTCGCCGTCGGAGAAAAATAGGCATAATCTGGTTAGCATTAGAACGCTACTCCGACATTTTTCTTTGAGTTTTCTTCGTTTCAACGATGTGGGATCGATATCGGATATCACGTTATAACCGCGTTCTCCCTTAGTTCCAACAAAAATCGTGCTCGTTATTCTTTCACTAAACCGAAAGAGAGAGAAAGTTTTCTCGTTTGAGGCTAAAACGAGAAACCTGGTCGTTGCCGATAGGATTGAACCGCGGCTAGGAGGTTTACGGGGGTGGCATCATTCCCCGTATTTCTCTCTCTCTCTCTCTCTCTCTCTCTCTCTCTCTCTCTCTCTCGCTCGCTCGCTCGCTCTGAAAAGGACCAAAGCGGAATTCAAGCGAACAATGCATACCCGTTGGCAATTTCACGCGACAAGTCTCACCATCAGCATATCAATGGGCCCGGAGGATTATCTGGATGTGCAGTGATATTCCGCGGTTGGCTTCGACAGATAGGGTTGCGTATTGCTAAACCCTCGACGGCCGAACGTCCATGACCCAGCCTGGAAATTCAAACTTACGCAGGAAACTGCCTTCTTCCCTCGATTTATTTTCTTTTATTATTCGAGCGTGAAAAGTAGTATCAAGTGTTTTACGTAGTCATGGTTATACACCAAACTATATATATAGTTTGTATATACCTTTTTAAATTTCTAAGTGTTACGATATTCTGGAACAAAACAAAAGGATCTCTCGCGCGTATCGATGCGTATTATGCATAGAGATAATTGTGTAAA